ATGATGAAGAATTAGGTTTTAGAAAATTTGACAATCACAGGACATGCTAAAGGCAAGAGGGGCAAAAGAAAACAGTGTATACCCCACCAAACGAGTATAGGGATTAGGAGAGATAGTGAAAAGACAATATCTATTAAGAGCTACAATTGACAGGAAATTGCGGAAAGCCATGATGAGCCACCTACAAAAGTAAGAAGTCACATAGAAGAAGAAGAAAAAAAGAAGAAGAAGAAGAAGAAGAAGAAGAAGAAGAAAGGAGGAGGAGGAGGAGGAGGAGAAGAAGAAGAAGAAGAAGAAGAAGAAGAAGATTGTTTATTTAATTCAAACCCCCTTTAAACTTCTGTTTAGAATTTGATTAATTTGTCCTCACTAGAACTAATGTTTTTAGCACAGATCGATAGATAGATCAACACTAAATATTGACTGTTTAAACATCCCAGGGGTCCCCAAATTGGTCGATATCGATTTCTGGGTGGCGATGGGACTATCCAAAGGATGAATAAATACTTTGAGGTCAAAATGGGGATCGATAAATGTCTGAAAGTCAAATGAGGGTCGATAAATAAATCTTAGTGACATTTTTTTCAATCATTTCACTCCAAGCAAGGCAATAAAGCCACTAAGTTACAAAGTGGGTTACTGAGGTGTTAATATATATATATATATATATATATATATATATATATATATATATATATATATATAAACAGTATTAAGGAGAGAGAACAATAAAAAACAAGAATTAAGAAAACAGCAGATACCGATAGAGATTGCATTTAAATTTTTGAAGTACAAAGTTGACTGAAATTCAAGAAGCCGGAAGAGAGTTCCACAAGCGAGAAGTCAAGAGAATTTATGAAATTTCTCTCATTGTTATTTGAATTATTTACACAAATGCAGCTAATATAGGAAGAGAAATAGATATTAAAAAAGGAATAACAAAACATAAAGTTAAAATGAATTTTATTGAGAAACAATAGTGAAAGAAAATGGAAAAAAAAATTTCTAGCCTTCTTAAATTAAAAAAAAAGAAAATTATATTTTTGATATATTTTGTACATTCCTGGTGGTTAATGTGAAATCAAGGATTCCACAAAGCATTAAGAAGACAATGGTAGAAAAAGTTTTGGGTTGCTAATTTTAAAGTAAACATTTGGTCAATGTTTTCAAGCAGAATACAGGAACTTCAAGTTCGGTTGTATGGAACTACTACTACTATTATTATTATTATTATTATTATTATTATTATTATTATTATTATTATTTCCTTTGATTTCTGATGGTACACATTTCTGGGTGCCAACAAGGGACCTAAGGTCAGAAATGGTTTCATGACATATTCCACTGATCATCTTTTGTAAAAATAAATAAAATAAAACCTAAGATCACACACATTTTACATAGATAAAAGTTTATGTAATGTGTGAGCTATACTTTTGAGCACGAGTTTTTGTATTTCTTTAAGATATGGGCTGCCAGGAATCCCTTCAGTGAGTCTAGCGAAACCTTTTTCAATCAATCCGAGAGCTCCAACTACAACTGGAATTATTGATGCCCTCATGTGCCACATTTTTTAGATTTCCACAAGATCCTTGTATTTTTTTTTTTTTTTTTTTTTTGAAGATCTTCAAAGATACATTACAATCTGAAGGGGCTGCCATGTCAATAAGAAAGCAAATTCTGTTCTTGTGGACTTTGATCATTATTATTATTATTATTATTATTGTTGTTGGTGTTGTTGTTGTTGTTGTTGTTGTTATTATTTTTATTTTCTTTGATTTCTTGCGTTTACATATTTCTTTCCGGGTCCCGCCCAAGGACCTAAGGTTAGAGATGGCATCATGACACTTTCCACTGACAAAAAAAAAAAAAAAATATTACATAGATAAAGCACTTCGTAAAGTGTGGGCTGTACTTGTCAGAAAAGTTTTTTGTATCTCCTTGAGGCATGGATTTCCAGGAATCCCTTCAATTAGTCTACTGCAATCTTTTCCAACCAGTCCTAGGGCTCCAACTACAACAGGGATTGTTGATGTTCCCATATGCCACATTTTCGAGATTTCTATTTCAAGGTCCTTGTATTTTGACAACTTTTTGAATATCTTCAAAGATACATTGCAGTCAGCAGGGACTGCCATATCAATAAAGAGGCACTTTCTCGTTTGTGGTCTTTAATAATAATATCTGGGCGGTTAGCTTTGATTGTTCTGTCAGTGTGTATTGTGTAGTCCCATAGAATTGTAACAGGTCTTATCTCCGTAACCGGAACTGGGTGGTGTTCATACCAGTTTCTTTCAGTTTCCTTCCCGTAGAAGTTGCAGATTTTCCAGTGCAGATATTGGCCCACTCTGTCATGCCGGGTTTTATATTCAGTGAGTGCCAATGTCGTGCAACCTGACACAAGATGATCAATCGTTTCTGGATATTTATCACAGAATCTGCATTTTGGGCTGACACAGTATTTTAGTACATGTGCTTGATAATTCCTAGTTAGCAAGCATTGGTCCTGCGCAGCAAGGATAAAACCTTCAGTTTCCGCTTTCAACCCTGCACTGCGTAGCCACTGATGGGTACGGGTTTTGTCTACATCAACTTGTTTGGTACGGGCAGAGTATTGGCCATGAAGTGGTTTATCTTGCCATCGCTTCTGTATCTGGTCGGTTGCATTCGTCTTTGCTGTCTTTTTTAAGTATTTTGCAGTTTCAGCCGATGTATTGTGCTGTAGTTGCATCTCTACGCCCATTTGGAATTCTATTTTGAATTTGTTGGCTTCTTTTATTACGGAGTAAAGACGCTTACTACTTTCATGTTCCTTGACGCAAAGCATCACCCAGTCTTCTGTAGTTTCCAAGTATCTTTGGAGGATAATTGTTGTAGTTTTGTAGAACAGTTCTAGATGAACTAATCCTCTGCCTCCTTCGGATCTGGGCACATACAGACGATCAGCTTTGGGATGATGCATGCGGTAGCAAGTGAGATGCTTTCTCGTTTTGGCGTCCATTCGCTTAATTTCAGCTATGGTCCAGTTAAGGACATTAAAGCTGTATTGCACCACAGGGACAGTCAATGTGTTTATGGCTGATATTCTGTTTTTTGAGTTTAGCTCAGTATTTAGTACCAGACGTACACGCCTGTAGTACTCTTTTCTTATTTTTTTCTTTCATTTGGGGGTGTTGTATGCCATCTCCTTCGCTAATTCCTAGGTACTTATTATTATTATTATTGCTGTTGTTGTTGTTATTATTATTATTATTCGGCTTTTCCCGCCCTCCGTTAGTTCGCCCGACAGTTAAGCTTTGCCAGTGTCTCATAAATAATGGACTATTCCGTTTTGATCGCATGAAAAAAAAAAGAAAAACACTATTTGGTTTCAGTGAGAAAAAGAAAGAAAGAAGAAAGGGAAGAAAGGAAAGATAGAAGTGAAGTGGGAGAATAAGATTAAGCTGATTAGAACAAATACTACAATTTGATCTTAGCCAAAAGGCCGAGATTCGATTGAATTTTCTTGTCGACCCTCGTTGGTAGGATGTGACACAAGGTCGGTCTAATGTGGGGAGCCCCTGGGCCGATCCAAAAATAGCGCAGCCCCCACAGTCGTCACTTCCGCTGACAGAGATGCAGCTAAGTTGAGCCCTGTCCGAAGAAAGAGACACTGAGAGATGAAATGTAGTTTATCCGCCTGAGAGCAGATACTCCACTTTAATCTCAATTATAAGGCCGAGAACGATGGTGACCGCGATAAAAGCACCATTTTTCAGACGCACAGTATCGAACGACGTAAGTAAAGACTGCCTTTGTAACATCCACTAGCTTTCCTTTTTCAGGGTCGTATAGAAAGCATATTTGATCAAATCTCTAGAGGGACACGTGACACAAAGAAATTATGCTTCGTTAGTATGTTCGGTTTTCAGAAAATAAAATCTTTTAAGCACTTCCGACTTCTCCCTAGCCGTATTTATTTATTTATTATGAATATTTAAGTAAATATCTGTACCCACGACAGATCTTGCCAAGGCCGCGGACATATATTTGGTAATCTAACAAGATAAAAAAAAAATAATATTATAAACAAATAAAGGTGTATTGAACTGATATGTAACATCTAATTTTCTATATTTGTTGAATTCTGAACAGTTTTGTCACAGATGAAAAAAAAAAAAGACTTGTAGAATCTGAGATATGAACAAAAGTTGAGAATACCATGTACGAAGCAAGCAACAGATGAGGAAATTCTAAGGAAAATAATAACTATAATAACAGCAATTCTGGTACACCTGTCCATTTTTTTGACATTGTCCAACCAGTTTTTGCGTTGGCGTCCTTTCCTACGTCCACCTTCTAATAACTATAAAGAAACTCTTATCAACAATCAGAAAAAAGACAACTGAAATTTTGAGGATATTTAATGCGGAAAGAAGGCCTGGAGAGTTTAACACTCAGAGAAATGCCTCAAAAAATCTACTTGGCAAGTTTGAGCAAATCGCTAGAGGGACGCGTGACACAATTAAAAATAGGTGCCGTAAATGCTATTAAGGGGAACAAAAAATAGGAAGCTGTGTATAGCCGTGATCGATTACGTTTTGAAGGTAGATGGCACAAAAAGAGAAAGAGAGTGACTGTGTGCGTGTGTGAGAGAGAGAGAGAGAGAGAGAGAGAGAGAGAAAATATTTTATAGCATAAAACTCGTGATCATTTTTTTTTTTTTTTTTTTCCATAGTAAATGTCAAGGGTCATTTTGCATCCTCTTGTTCACAGATTAAAAATACGGAAACTCATTCTTTATAAAAAAACCGATTAGCCAATCTGCGAACAGAGAGCAAATGAACCAACGGGAAAGGCATAAATAGTCGGATCCATGCGGAAATCTTCAATCGGATGATTTGTGAGATGACACCCGTATGTTTCTCCACTCACTCACTCACTCACTCACTCACTCACTCACTAACTCACTTCCTCATTCACACACTCAATCATTCTCCCAGTCACTCAGTTACTCCCTCAACACCGGCTCCCGTAGGATCACCGAAGTTAAGCAACGTCGAGCTTTGTCAGTATCTAGATGGGTGATCGATTTGGAATGCTAGATGCTGCAAGCTTGGATGTACGGCTGGTGTAATGGTTAACAGCTCGGAATTTGGAAATCAGAGAGCCGAGTATCAATTCCAGTCGGTGTTCATACATTCACTTAGGAATACTCTTGGGAAAGGCATGGATCCAACTCATCTCCCACCAGCTATGGGTTAATTATTAGAACATATCAGTAAATCAGTATTATACCCTCACAAAAAAAATTCTTACAATCTAAAAATATTTTCTGTTTTTTTATAACCTACAAAAGGTTGATAAGCTGTAAAAAAACAATTCAATCAATCAATAAATATTCACTCACTCACTTAATCACTCATTCATTCGCTCACATTCTCTGTCATTCACTTACACACTCACTCAATTAATCACCCTCACTCTCTCTCTTATTCACTCACTTAATCATTCATACACTCACTCACTCATTCAATCACGAACTACACTCACTTACTCACACACTCAGTCACTCTCTCCTTCACTCATTCAATCACACACTCACTCATTCATTCAATCATTCACTCAATCATTTATGCACTCTTAATCACTCTCTCATTCAATAACTAACTCTCTCATTCATCCTTTTCCTCAATCACTCACTCATTCCATCACTTAATCATTCACTCGGTCATTCATTCAATCACCAACTCCCTCACTTTCTCATTCATTTACTCACTCACTCACTCACTGAATCCTTCCCTCACTCCCTCATTCCATCACTCACTCAATCAATCAATCATTTTTCCGCATTTCTACAAATAATTTGGTTTTGGTCTGTTTTGGCATATCAACTACAATGGGTTGTTAATGCCGACAAAATTTTTATTGTTGGTAATATTTTTTTCAAAAATCTATTTCTGGTAATATTTTTTTTCCTTCAAAAAGCTCTATTTCTGGTAATATTTTTTCTTCAAAAATCTATTTCTGGTAATAATTTTTCCTTCAAATATATATATATATATATATATATATATATATATATATATATATATATATATATATATATATCCGGTTATATTTTTTTCAGAAACATTTATAGTTGATATTTTTTTTTTCAAAAAATGTATAGCTGGTAATATTTTTTTTTCAAAATGTATTACTGGTAATAATTTTTACAAAAAAGTTTTACTGGTATTAAAATCTATTTTTACACGTTTTGACACCAGTTGGGGTGGGTAACTATTTGCCCATAGCTGGGACCCTAACAGGTGCTATCACTTTGGGTCAGGGTGGGCCTGGGAACACCAGCAATTAAGAGGTGGTTTCACGCTCCTCAAAACCTGATCAGAGGCCTTGCTGTTGGACGTAGTTTATCGTCTTACCCAGGATGCGGATGTAGTTTATCGTCATACACAGGACGTTCTACAAATAAAAAGAATCCTTCTGTATGTTGTGCATAATGCTATTCTACTTCTAATTACAACAATTTGGTTTTCAATCTTTCTTGCTTATTTATTATGAAGCTCAAACTAAAAAATGTATTTCATTCAACTGATCCTTTCCTACAAGCTTAGATTCTCGGCTACCGTTGTTCCCTGTGATTTCTAAATGCAAAAAAAAAAACAATTCGAAATTGCATAATTTATCCTATAATTAGCTAAATCATTAACTTTTAAAAACTATTGCATTCTTTTTTTGAAAAGAAATTCTAAATTGAAATCTCATTCGGCAAGGTTTTTAACATAATCGTTTAATTCAAGTTACATATATATATATATATATATATATATATATATATATATATATATATATATATATATATGTGTGTGTGTGTGTGTGTGTGTGTGTGTGTGTGTGTGTGTTTATAGCTGGTCACTCGTATTCAAGGATACCCGTCTACTAGGGCGGCTAGCCAATCCCTGTTGCAGACGCTTGCTCAGGCGCATTTGTGTTTATTCAACACCCACAGAGGCCACCTGTGGTTTATACTGCAACTATGCTGATCAGACCTTAGTTACAGTTTCTGGGAAAGAGCGTGTTATCTAGCGTGATCAAGCCCTCGATCACGATGACTTGCAACTTCGTGCTAGCAGAGTTATCGACGGCCCCTCCCAGGGGTTCCGTCTACTCCCTTACAAGGCTTGGGTCAACTAGTGGTAGGGTTTTCAGGGACTTTTCAAAGGTGCCGCACGCTGAGATCGACCCCTCCGGGTCTCATGGTCAGAATGCGAACCTTCTAACCACTCAGTCACGTGCCCATAATACATACATATATATATATATATATATATATATATATATATATATATATACTATAGTCACAACACATTACATTGAATCTAAATATATGGTTATGTCGTTAATGTTTCGGTATCTCACGTAGTACGATGTCATAGAACTGCATCATGAATTTAGGACCTCGGTCTGCTATTCCGCGACCGTTATCGTCACATAGCAATCATCTATGTCATCCAACCTTTGATGCTGTTTATCGTCGCGTTGCTGAGACAGGATCCACAAACTATGGATCGAGGAAGACGGAGATCCACTCGTATGCCTGGCCACCAAGAACACAGGCTGTCGGAGACGATCCAGGTATCAGCACAGGTCAAGTGGTTCTAGCATGTCGTACATCTCATAGCACTGCATGGAGGGTACTTCAAGAAAAGCTCCTGGATCCGTATCATTTGCAACGGGTGCAGGGTCTTTCACCCTCTGATCACACGCCACGGGAGAGCTTTTGCACAAACTGCCGATCCGTTGTTTGTCTCTTCGGTCTTGTTTACAGATGAGGTAACATTTAGAAGAGATTTGGAATAAATTTACACAACTAATATTTGTGTGCGGGTCAGAATTCCCATGGTACAATACAGGCTATACACCAGCATCAGTTTACGATTAATGCGTGGAGTGGAATTGTAGGTGACTGTCTGGTTTTCCCAACACTTTTCTTCTCGCTGGATTTATTCAACCTCTACAGTGATTCTGAGATAATCTATATTTAACACCAGAGAGAGACAGTTGAAATTCCTAGGACACATAATGAGGAAAGAGAGATTAGAAAATGTGATACTCACAGGGCGGTTTGTTGGCAAAAGGGACAGTGGGAAACAACGCATAACCTACCTAACAAACTTGCTCAAATGAATGGCGGAACAGGGTTTAGGTAAATTAACAAAAAGAAGTGCAAAATTTCACAAACGGGTATTTGTTTACAGGACATTTGCGTAAAGTGAACAAATGCGTCTTGGATATTTGCGTACATCTGATAATTTTTTGAAATTACCATTTTTAAGAGTTGCTTAATATAAAAATTTACACACCAATAATTACTAAAAACAAGCAGAAAAATAGTCACCATAAATAAAAGAGAGAAAATTTTCTTTTTTACCCATAAAGCAAGAGAAAATTAATATATATATATATATATTCACTCCAAACGTACCAGTGGAAACATTTAATAGATTCTCTTTTTTTATAGATTATATTTTTTATTTGAACCCTTTGCATTCAAGAAAATTTAAAATCAAACAAAGGTGGAAAAATATTTGGGGTTTGAAGAAAATTCCAGCCTTCATTAGGAAGAACTGCGATGAAACAAAACATACTGGCGATGTGTAACTCAACTACAAAGATGTTAATCTGTCATTACATTTTAAACAAAATGTAAACTTTAATTTTATTTTATTTTATATTACGATTTTTATTCTTGTTAATTAAATATTCATTTGATTACCTTTAAATTATTCCAAAATTGAAATCCGAGATACGTGAAATTTAAAGGGAATTAAAATCGTATATTTCAGGGAGCAACTGGATAGCAACTTATATTTAACCTAAAACAAAGAGAGAAATGAAGTGCAGGGAAAAATTGGATTATTAAAATATATTAAAAATTTTTTTAAATCAGTCATTTTTAAAGAAATTTCTTGCACATGCATTGTAGACTCTAAATTAATCTTTTAGTAATTTTTTTTTATATTCTCCACTTAAAATCTTCGGGTTTACTCAAATTTTCTACTATTAACACTTCTTTTTTATTCAGATGAATTTAAAAATCAGGTTAAAATTTCACATAAAAAAAATAGCCTAGGCCTCCTTTAAAAAAGGCAAAGTTTAGGATAAAATACAATTAGATTAAACTATTGAAAAAATGATTTTTTCCATTTTTTATGCACTTTATGTGGATTTATAGAAAAGATTTTTTTAATGTTTAATTAAACTTTTACATAAAATGCAAAAAAAAAAAATCAAGGTATTTGAATAGCAAAATTACATTGTCACAAAATCAAACTTTCAAGAAAAAAAAAAATAAACCTGTTTACCTGGTAGTCTCAATTCTGAAGTATGGATGTGAAGCTATGGTATGGACACAGTTGACAGATACAGATTGAAGGATAAAGCGTTTGAGAATAAACACATGAGAATAACTCCTTCATATTTTCCTTGTAGGGAACAAAAAAACAAGGTTTTTCTTATTTTTTGCAGAAAAGGGTTGAGAGTCAGAGAGAGGCAGGCTACACCATACCTCATCTATCTGCTGTCCAACGGAGAAAAATGACTATGGTTTTTGGACCCAGCTGAAGACACTTTGCCTGTACAAGACCATCAATGAAAGAATCGTTGAATGGATCAATTCGAACGACAATTTTAAAATAATAATTGGCCAATGTCATCCAAACAATGGATATTTTTGACTGTCGTTATAAGACATATAATATAAAAAAGTTGGTGTGGCAAAGTGCAAAGAACAAACGCCTTTGAATTTCAAAAAGCCAAGTCAATGATGATGATGATGATGTCCTTACAACACTAATGTTACAGGTCTGTCAATTGTATTTCTTTCGCGATTGATAATTATATTTATAGCTGAAAGTCGTTATCACAATGTTTCACATGATTTCATTTCTTCATTACAACAAAGACAAGGACAATAGTTTCTATGTAAATAATAAAAATGATTTATATCACAGCAACGACAATTATTAATCCAAAGAATTTACTGCGTAAATACATTCTGGGGATCGTAATGATGTGTAACAATTATCGACACAAAAATAGAGTAGAGGGAT